GATTTTAGGGTGCACATCCGGGGGGTGCAAGCTTACAGATAGAGCAGAGGGGGTGCATGAGGAGCCCCGGGGTGGAGCGGTGTGGGGTGGGCACGGGGTTGGGGTGTCAGGGGGGTGTGGGTGTGCGCAGGAAGGAGAGTAAACAAGGGGAGGGCGAGGGGGAGTCACGGGATGGGCTGTGGGGGAAGGGGCTGCTCCCGTGGGGACAATGCGGGGGCACGGCGACGCCGTGGGGGCGGAGGGAAGGGCCCCCACCCTATGGCCGCGGCATGGGGTCACGCTGCGGCCGGGCGCAGCTCCAGGCCTCTCCTCCATCTCCTCCTCTGAGTCATCCCGCTGCGCTCCCTGGGGTGCCCCGCAGCTGTGGACCCCCCTCCCGCCCCATAGGCTCCTCATTTGACCCCACAGCATCCCCGACCCCATGGCGTCCCCGACCCCATAGCATCCCCTCCTCGTGCCGCTGCGGTTGGGGGCTGTTTTCCCCCCCTGCCCCACAGCTGCTGTCCGTCTCTTGCCCCCCCCCAAACGCCACGGTGTCGCCACTGGTGACCCCACACGCACCGTGGGGCACAGAGCTGTGAGCACAGCGGGGTGCTGGGGGGGGTCAGGAAGGGATGGGGGGGTCTGGGGAGCGGCGGGAGGGCGGAGATGTGATGGCTGAGGAATTGGGTTTGGGAAGAGGAGAGGAGCACGGAGGGGGAGGCAGAGCTGAGCACAGCAGGCAGCATCCACCCCACAGCCCCCCCCAGCAGCACCCCGGGTTGCTCGGGGAGTTTGTCCCCCCTTTCTTGTCCCCTCCCTCCCCCCCGTTTCCAGGGCAATCCAGATGTTTGGGCGCAGCTCCGGCATTGCTCAGCCCTGCTGCTCTGCCAGATGTTTCCTCTCCCCTCGGCGCACGCGTTTCCCCGCTGCCAGCACCTCCCATCCCACGCGCCGTGCGCAGGATCTGCTGCCTGCATCTCTTTGCCCATCTGCTGCTGCTGCTCCTGGGGAGGGGAGCGGGGGGGTCTGCTGCTCCCTTTGGAGCTGCGACTCATCCACGAAGAGCCGTGCAGGGTGGATGCAGGGATGTGCTGGGTGCTGGGGTGCTGGCACCGTGGGGATGCAGTGGGGATGCAGTGGTGCAGGGATGCTGTTCTATGGGGTGCAGTGGGGAAGCATTGGGTGCAAGGATGCTGGCACCATGAGGATGCAATGGGGACGCAGAGGTGCAGGGATGCAGGCACCATGGGGATGCAGTGGGGATGCAGTGGTGCAGGGATGCTGGCACCTTGGGGATGCAGTGGGGACGCAGTGGTGCAGGGATACAGGCACCTTGGGGATGCAATGGGGATGCATTGGTGCAGGGATGTTGTCTCTATGGGGTGCAGTGGGGAAGCATTGGGTGCAAGGATGCTGGCACCATGAGGATGCAATGGGGACGCAGTGGTGCAGGGATGCTGGCACCATGGGGATGCATTGGGGCTGCAGTGGGGGTGCATTGCTGCAGGGATGCAGGCACCATGCGGATGCAATGGGGATGCATTGGTGCAGGGATGCTGTCTCTATGGGGTGCAGTGGGGAAGCATTGGGTGCAAGGATGCTGGCACCTTGGGGATGCAATGGGGATGCAGTGGTGCAGGAATGCAGGCACCATGGGGATGCAATGGGGATGCATTGCTGCAGGGATGCAGGCACCATGGGGGTGCAATGGGGATGTTGTGGTGCAGGGATGCAGGCACCATGGGGATGAAATAGGGATGCAATGGGGATGCATTGCTGCAAGGATGCAGGCACCATGGGGGTGCAATGGGGATGTTGTGGTGCAGGGATGGAGGCACTATGGGGATGAAATAGGGATGCAATGGGGATGCATTGCTGCAGGGATGCAGGCACCATGGGGATGCAATGGGGGTGCATTGGTGCAGGGATGCAGGCACCATGGGGATGCAATGGGGATGTAATGGGGATGCATTGCTGCAGGGATGCAGGCACCAACAGCGGTGCCTGGCCCTGCTGCTGCTGCAGGACCCCCGAGACCCCCCTCCGTGCTCCCATTTTTTGCACGCACGGAGCGGCCTCCATGCAGCTCCCATGCGCTGCGCTCCCCTCCCTCCTGGAGCAGCACTTTGGGACCCAACCCACAACCGACCCGTGTGGGGGCCAGCAGTGGTGGGATTTTCCCCGGGGTTGGGGCTGCCACGCTGCTCCCCCTGCAGACCTGGAGGCGCTGCTGGCCGACCTGAGCTCCTTCCTGCTCCTCCTCGACCGGGAGAACCTCAGCGCCGCAGCCCGAGCCAAGAAGCAGTCGGTGGGAGAGCTGCTGCAACGGCTGCAGGGCCCGGCAGGTGAGTGCAACAGGGAGCAACAGGGGGTGCTGGGGGGGCCGTGACTCAAATCCCCCCCCCTCCAGCAGCAGCAGCAGCAGAGGATGCGGAGTACATGATGATGCGCTGCCTCTCGCCTTCCTCGGGGACCCGGCAGTGCCGGGGTGGTGCAGGTGAGTTGTGCTGTGCACCGAGCTCCGAGCTGCTCCCCGTCCTGCTCACTGCACTGCTTGCAATCCTGCTCCAACCCCCCCCTCCCAAAATCCCCCCCAGGAGCTGCAGTGATGGATGCAAGAGGAGGGAGAGCGTGTGAGCGTCTCCAGGGCAGCACCCAGAGCTCACAGGTGGGGGTAAGGATGGGGGGAGGAAAGCTGGGGGGGGGGAGGAGGGGGTCTGGGTGCAGCCATCCCTGCACGGCGGCTCTGGGAAGCGCTGGGTGTGAGTGAGCTCCCATCCGTCCCCTGTGGTCCCCTTGGGGACCCCCCCGCCCCCCTCAGAGAAAGGCACGGGGCTCCTCGCCCCCCCCGCCACCCGAGGGTTCCTACGAAGACACCAAACCCCTCAGCTGCA